GGCGGTGCTCCCGTTGCACTGCCCCGGCGTCCGGCAGAGCGGGCAGGCCCGGGTGTGTTGTGGTCAGGGCTCAGCCGGGGCTACAGAAAAGGCTCTGCCTGTTTTTGTAGCAGCACTGGTGCTCAGGGCACTCTTGCAGAAAAAAGACGATAGCCTTTGTCTGAAATTGCTACGCCTGGAGGCCTCATTGGCTGAGCGGCTGCTCTGGAGGGTTGCATTGAATCTTTCCACTTAGATGCATGTGTCTGACTGTCCAACAATAACGTACAGAAATTGAGCTAGAACATTGGAAAATTTGCCTTAGCTATAGATAACAAGACAGAGATAAAGCTCAAACCTTAGATTTCAGACTAATTATATCCAGGTGGATGCGAGGTTTGGCTCGTGAAGAGGTTTTGAGACAGTAACACCATCCCATCACAGAAAGGGTACTCACTGTCCCCCAGAGCCCACAAAAGATAGATACATACACAAAACTCCTATTCGTAGGGAGAGATTTCTAGAGACGTATTCTGAGTAGCAGGAGTTGGACATCTTCCATCAGAATGAAAATATTTCTTCTTTACTTGGTTTTTGAAACAGGTTTATAATAAATGCTATATGCATTGAGTTTAATCTTTTCCCCATTAATCCAGTCTCCTCAAATAACTTTCACATATTTGTTCTCAGCATTGAACACACTGTAGAAATTCAAGACACACCATAGAAAAGTTTCTACTGCCTGATTAGATGGCCATTTATTCTTCTGTGTATACATCTTAGACCTTGATTCTGTGAAGGTCTTTGCATACAGTACAAGGCATTTCCCTGGAGGAGCTTTGCCACTAATTCTACACAGACCTGCTTGGATAGAAACTTCAGGACCTCAAACTGAAAATGCAATACAGGCTAATATATGAACTGGAAACACAGCTTATATGACTGCCACTTTCCCTTTGCAATAGATAAATTCCATGCTTAAAAGTTTAAATCAATTCCTCTGGATTTTTCCCCCCTTGGCTCTTCTAATGAAAAATAAAAGTTATCCTGAACACAAATGGCCTATACTAAGACTGAAGGCAGTATCAATATCATCTGTGGAGACCATCTTCTCATGAAACACCATTTAAACTTGACGTGGCAAGGGATCTGATTTCATCAAGTAAGGCCATACAAGAACTGGCAAGTGGGAGAGAAGCAAATACATCAAGTTTCTTAAGATCTTGGATTTAATAAAGGGCAACTAAGTCATGTATCTTACACTATTTTCCCTAGGACCATATTAGAACTATGCCGATAGAGGAAAGTATTAAATCTGCATGTGAACATGTTTAAGTGGCAGTAAATATCAGTTCTCTTGGCAAATAATAAAGACAGTAAAAATATCTAAGAGGACACAATGCACTGAGAAATAAAGAGCATAATCCCTTTCATTAAAAATGTTTCACTCCATGAGGCCAGTAATCCAAGACTGTTTCCATAAGGCTCTGTTGTTTTAACAGCTGTGGCCATGGTATAAAGTTTCACATTTGGAGCTTGAGCACAATTAAAGTCCCCCTCAACACCTGATGAAATGGGTTCTTATTTACTAATTCACCTCAGTAATCAGCTGATCTTGAGGATGTTCACAGTGCTGTGTCCAGAGAAGTATAGAGATTATCTTGGAGTGTGCACTCAGGATGCCTTGGATTGCCTATTTATCCCTCCTTAGCTCTTTATGGCAATAGACCCTTTATTCTCCTGGCCACAATTTCCATTTAGGATTTGGTTTATGAAAATTTATGTTTAGAGGCCTCAAAGAGATTATTGACCATTTAGTGGTAGGCACAGTTCAGAGGTTTAAATTAAAGAGATCAGGCCAGAAAAGAGGGAAAGGAAGAAAGATCAGGGTTAATGAGAGGGAATGACTGCAAATAGTGAATTGGAGTTGACTATGGTGACTGTTAAATTTTTGCTCACGATTTTGCCTCACCTTCATTGAAGAAAGAGCATATGCTGATATCTCCTCCTGTGTAGGTTTAGATGAGTATCAGTATTGCCATTTCAGGGGAAGAATGGCAAGAAACTCACTGACCAGTGACTAAGAATGATCTTAGGATCAGAGGGAAGTTCTGGTAGAAACAAGAACTGCTCTCTTGTTCTTCATTTCAGGCTAGGGGCTAAGCCGTGAGGACATACTTCCACGCTTCTGTACACACACCATTTGGTCCTTCACTTGCTTCTCTCTCTGACAGCATTTTTGTAGTCAGGGTGAGGACTTCTTTCATCTGACCATTCATATAGTTATCTTCAACCTTTTCCCAGGTGTGGTCTCTGTAATCTTCCTCATCTCTCTCTGTGTTCTGGCTGGCTTCCTTCCCAATGTCCAGCCTGAAACCCTGAAGCCACAGCTCCTGACTTGCCAACTTGATGCTTGCCAGCATGAGTTTCCTTCTACTCCCCTATCTTTTCTGTACGCTAAAATAAGGCAAACAAAATTGTGGAAGAGAATTTAAAAGGACAAGAACTTCATGAGGTTTCCCTTGCAAAATGTTCTTCAGATTGATCCCTGTCCAGCCAGGCTAATAGACAGAGAAAGAGAATAGAGAGAGAAAGAGAATCACTGAATATGTAAGGGATACCCATCTTAGAAACAACTTGAATGCATGTTAACATTCATTTTCTTTTCTTTGGGGGACAGAATTGAAAAATCATTTTCCCTTTGGTTTTCCATCCATCTCAGAGTCTGCTTTTCATACACCTTTGGTGATGTGCTGCTGGGTTGTAAGAGGAGTTTTCTACTGGGTAGGTGTACCCCATTATGTGACAAACTTTGTGGACCAGCCTTGTGTGGATTGGGCTGCGTTATTTGTCCTCTGCTACATCTGATTCCTTGGCTGGCAGCTTCAGCTGAAAGCCAGAGAACGTGTTTCATTCACCCAGGCTGTGGTGAGGCCTGTGCTCCAGTCTTCTTGCGTTGGCCATAAAACCACGTGTCAGGTGAAGGTTTATATTCTGGGCAACTCCTTACTGGTGAGATGTTTTCATCCTTGCTCACAGCAGGGGGATCAAACAGAAGAATGGGCTGCAGATAGCTGAAGGGAAAAAGGCTCTGGGAATCTATTACTTTGTTTTTTCACAAGAAGAATAAGAAAGAAAAGGCAGCACCTCTTGGCAAACAGTTATATTAAGTGCAGTTTGCAAGAACTGTATATGAAAAGAAGTTGAAAGGACTTTTGATTGTTCATGTAGAAAGGAGATGAAGAAGAGGCAACGTGGTAAAAGAGAATTAAAAAGGACGTGGTTGCAGAAGGTATCTTGGGAATGTCTGTTCTGCTGCTTCTGATGACAAGACTTGGGACTATTCATGTTAATAAAAAGTAGAAAATGAATATGCAAAACATAATCATTTTTGTTCTATATGTGATTGACTGTGGAACTCACTCCACCAGAAATGCCTAAGACAACATTCAAATTAGAATCAGTCGCTTACATAGATATGAAGAACAGCATTAACAGTAACAACCACATACGGAAAGATCATAAACACTGTGCTTAAGTTTCTCAGCAATTATTAGAAGCAGCAAGGTGAGGAGTAAACTGCTTATTAGAGAGTTCTTACATCTGAGTCAGGAACATTTCACGTCGGCCTGTGCCAGCCAGTGCTCTGGACCACGGCTGCGGTCCAGGGTCAGTTTATATTACGGCTGCTACAGAGACAGCATCACATCGACAGATTTCACTTTAGTTTCCCCGGTAATTTTGTTAAACACTTGCCAGTGACTGTGACTTGATTCTGCTCAAGAGTTATTCTTCTGAAGTGTTTTTCTTTCCTCTAAAGAAATAAAATACTCTGAAGTTAATCAGGGACCTCGTCTGCTTTTTTCCATGTCACAAGGTCATGTATCTTGGGCTGATGACGGGGTTGCGAATGGAGACAAAGTGGTCAGAGGCTGCACTAATCCCTGGCATGAGGGACATGGAGGGGCAGCAAATAAAGCAGGGCCTATGTTAAGTGGGTGGGCAAATGCTTTTGAAAAAATTATCTAAATAGA